TGTTTCAACAACAATAAAAACTTAGTTGAATCCCACAAGTAGGGTCTGGGGAGGGTAGTGTGTACGCAGACCTTACGCCTACCTTGTGAGGGTAGAGAGACTGTTTCCGATAGACCTTTAATTGTTTCCTTTCTACGATTTCTTATGAGAACTTCTGCATAGAGTCATCGTAATTTAACGAAGTTTATGTAAAAAATTGTAATGTTACATTTACATATGCATAAATTTTCTGATTCACTGTTAAAAATCTTTTGGAAGTACATAATTAAACTGAAATTGATGGATCTCACCTATCACCCCCCTTGAGGATGGTCTCAAATTTATAATTGACCCGTTACGTTTCTTTCCTACAACTAATGAAAAGCATAACTGAATCTAATTCAGTTGAATATTAGCCAAGGACTTTAAGATTCCTATAGAGTTTAAGATTCTTCTCTCGTGATTTTTGCTGAGAAAATTCAGGAATAGCAAGAAAACCTTGGATATGAACCTGTTGATGTTTTTTCTAGGATGATCCGGGTGAGTATAATATATCATATTCCAGAATGAACTTCCAATATTTGCTTCTGAAACTTAATGTATACAACAACAACAACGACGACCCAGTGTAATCCCACTAGTGGGGTCTGGGGAGGGTAGTATGTACGCAGACCTTACCTCTATCCTGAGGGATAGAGAGGCTGTTTCCAGGAGACCCTCGGCTCAAGAAGGCGACAAGAGACAATATATTAGTATTATCAAAAGAATCATAATAAAATAATAGCAATATAAAAACAAACACGAAATAGATGGAAAGTACACAAAAACCAGTAGGTAAAGACCGGCATTGAAACTTAATGTATGTATCTTTTATAATGAACAAATTAATTAATTTTATAAGAAAATGCTAACTAAGTTAGAAAGCAATACAGATCAAAATGGTATTAGATATGGTTAATATGTATTGTAGTTGTAGATGACTATTTGCCTTTGAAGATTTGGGGCCTTTAGTGCATAAGGATTTATACGGAGAAATTCAAAAATAGCCAGATTTACAAGTGGTCATTCAAAAATAGCTACAGTTTCAAAAGTAATCGAAATTTTGTCACTTTTCATGTAAAGATAAATCTAAACAAAAATACTGTTTAAAATTCGGAAAATACTCCAGCATAATATACTGTAGTTCCAGTATAATATACCGGTCCAATATAATATGCTGGAAGTTCATACACATGCGCTCCAATCTCTAGTATATTATGCTGGAACTTTTCGCGTGTTGGAGTTCCAGCATAATATGCTGGAAGTTCATACACAGGTGCACCTATTTCCAGTATATTATGCTGGAACTTTCCGTGTTGCGGCAAAATATTGGCTATTTTTCAATGACTTTGCAAATGCTGGCTATTTTTGAATGATCGGTCCGAAAACTGGCTAGCCCGTACTATTTTTACGGATTTATAATCTGACAATTGTAGTTTTGGGTCTTATAAATAAAAGACCCCACTATATTTTACTTATGTGACTTCATTCAGTTTCTCCCAACCTTTCTGCAGATGATGATTATGAATAAGAAGGTGAAGGGGAAGAAGGAGGAGGAGGAGGAAATCCATGGTTGACACGATCATACTCAATCTAGCTGGTAAAGTCATTTCAGTAACAGATGTTTATAAACAATAAATATGCAATTATATTGGTGATCCGTTGGTTTAGTTTTCGCAGTAATGTTTCATTGGAGTATTCATCTTTGACTATGTGATTCAACAACAACAACAATCCAGTATAATCCCATTTAGTGGGGTCTGGGGAGGGTAGTGTGTATGCAGACCTTACCACTACCCTATGGTAGAGAGGCTGTTTCCAATAGACCCTCGGCATCCTTCCCTCCAAGAACTTCCCACCTTGCTCTTGGGGATACTTGAACTCGCAACCTCTTGGTTGGAAGTGAGAATTGCTTACCATCAGAGCAACCTCTCTTGTCTTTTGACTATGTGATTCGTTGATGCAAAAATGTGCTTTTACTTTTCTCGAGAATTTTTCACCGTAGAAAAGACGAGTTCTTTGGGTAATAAACACAAAGCTAAATCACTACCTATAAAATTTACTCTTAATTCGGATAGGTTCTAACTTTTGGAAAATGCATAGAGATAGAGATTCATATCGAGTTTTTAAATATGTTGGATTCCATCCAAGTCCTAAGTTTAATTTGTACAGGACAAAAATAAAGCCCGGGACTTTAACGGGTCAATTATAAATTTGGATTGATGTTGGGGCAATAAAGTTGATCTTAATAGGAAAATAATTGGATAAAGGACAGACCGGTGCACTAAGCTCCCGCTATGCGCAGGGTTCGGGGAAGGGTCAGGGGAAGGGTCAGACCACAATGGTCTATCTTATGCAACCTTACCCTGCATTTCTGCAAGAGGCTGTTTCCACGGCTCGAACTCGTGACCTCCTGATTATGGCAGTATGACAGTAATTTTACCAGTTACGCCAATGTCTCCCCTTCAAGAAAATAATTGGATGCAACTCACTAAAAAGTTTGACCGCGTCTCTTACGTATCTTCGTCGCCTAATTCTAGTCACACCCTTCATATTATTCGCTTCTACGAGGTATGACCCGTTTGTCCATAGGAAATTTTTTCCTTTTATTTTTTTCAGGAAAAAATAATTCAACAATATTTTGTTACACATTGGAAAGATTTTTTGAAGATGAGTTTGGAAATTTGTAAATTGGCTTTTACTACTTTTTCATGTAAAAATTTATTTTTCTTCATAAACTATAATATTTTTTCAAGTGAAATATACATTCAAGATTTCAAATTTCAAATACTCTTTTTCAATCAAAAGTTACTTTTTTATTTTTTTACAATTTTTATGTCCAAAAGCCTACTAAATTCCTCTATTTTTGAACGTGTGTTTCAAGACGGATATAGTGCAACAAGCTTAATAGTAATTGTAGACATCGAAATTTTAAAGGATCAAGCTCAATCCTAAATTCAAGATACTATAGGACTCTTGAAATCCTAAGAGTCTATCATGGTTTCTTGGAGGTTACTCTACCATAAACTCTAACGTACACCTATATAAAAGGATACATATTTCCTTGAAGAGGGCCTCAAAAATCCCATAAATTCTCGGGATATTCACAAAGTGATCAAGGCATAAAATAATATCGTGATCAATAGATGTTCTTTTTGATAATCAAATACTTCAAGAAGAATATCCGACTTTCATGGAGATTAAATGATCCAGAGAGGTCTGTATCATCCTATGTTCGAGAATACGCTGATCCAGCCCTCGAATCATGGAGATCAACTCAAAGGAAGAATCAAAGGATAAATAGAGTTGTAACCCATATTGTTTATCAATAAAATCACTTTATTATTTTGTGATTGCAAGTTTTATTTTTCTTTGCATAAATTTGTTGCAAACAGTCATATAAGCTCTTTTACGGTATTCGGTATCCGATACTCCTATTTTGGCTCGATTAAATTTGAATTTGCTCTAGAAAATCTTACATAAAGATAAAACATTCCCTAACAAAAACGACTCCAAATAATGTTCCCAAATAATTTTAATTTATGTTGGCGCAATACCGTAAGGCTTAAGATGGCTAATTGGAGGCAAATCGTAAATGGAATTAACAAAACTTTAGAAGCTACTTTTGACAGAGTATCTACTAAAGCATTAAAAGCAAACTAAGCCATTAAGTTTTGTTTGTTTGTAAGTGCGGAATACCCCCAAAATAATCATCAAAGAGCTCCCTAACAGCTTGTTTGGATGGTTGTTACCTATTGTGTTGTATCGTATTGTTACTTTAAATACGAAGTTAATTTATTTTAATTATTATTTAAATTTTATTGTATTGTATCGTTAAGTCCGTCGTTACGTAACGACGAAATGTGCCACTTTATGTAACGACCGATTTGGTGTGGTTTGCGTCGTTATCTTGTCTTTTTCTCTCATCTCACCCTTCATTATTATTTAATAATTTTATTTTATTATTTACTTTACCTTTTTATATAATAATTTTACTTTGTATCAGATTTTTTTTTATAATATTGCAAGTTTATTTTTTATATTGTTGATGTATGATATCATAGAACAGTGACAAATGATGCAATTTATCCAAACATTGTATTCATCAAATTATACAGTACAATACAATACAATAAAATACGATACATTATGAAACGATATGTAATAATCATCTAAACAAGCTGTAAGGATTATGCAAACTTATTGTATTTATGCTTGAAGTATAAATTATAATTAATCAAAATTCCCGTGTGTTGGAAAACGACCTTTCTTATGTATTTGAAAACATACTTTTGAAGAATCGTAATTTGTGTTTGACAAAATCAATTTAAAAACTATTTTGGCTAATATTAGAACAGTAATTTGTGTTAGCAAAGTTTCAAAAGTGATTTAGGGAAAAAAACTAATACTTTTATATTAGCTTCTGAAAAATAATTTTTGTTACTATTCCTTTTCCTCAAAAGTTTGATCAAACACCTTATTCTCTAAAATAAGTACTTTTTTTTTTTAAAAAAATAAGTGGTTCTGACCTCCTAGAAACTTGACCAAACAGATTATTAATTATAATAGACGATACTAAATTTACTTTGAAATTTTTTTCGTACTATAATCAAAGCTAAGTGATTTTTTTGTTGCAACAATTTATTTAATGACTAAGTGGGCGTTTGGACATAAGAATGGCCCATAAGAATTGTAAAATTTAAAAAAATCGTGATTTTTTTAAAGTGAAATGATATTTGAAATTTAGAGTTGTGTTTAGACATAAATAGAATTATGAGTTGTTTTTGAAGTTTTGTGAGTGATTTGAGTAAGAATTTTGAAAATCAACTTTTTGGAGTTTTTCAAAATTTCAAAAAATTTTAAAATGCATCTTCAAGTCAAAATTGAAAATTTTATGAACAAACACATATTTCGGAAAAAAATAAAAAAAAAATTGGAAAAAAGAAAAAAAATTCTTATGTCCAAACAGGCTCTAAAATACTTACTCCCTCTCCGTTTCAGTTTATGTGAACCTATTTTTTTTTGTCTGTTCCAAAAAGAATGAACTCTTTCTAAATTTGGAAACAATTTAGCTTAAACATACAATTCTACGAGAAACTTTTATAATCAAACAAATATTCTGGGCCTTTTTAAAACTTGTTTAGGACCATAAATTTCAAAAGTCTTTATTTTTTCTTAAATTCCATGCCCAATCAAACAGGTTCACATAAATTGGAAGGGGAGTAGTAAATTAAGTAGTTTTCTCTTTATAAAATTTAATGCAATAAAATAAAAGTTAAATGACTCATTAATAACATTACCTGTCACATGTAGAAAACAGAAAATAAAAGAAAAAGAAATAGAAAAAACTCAATACTCTTCAGTTGCCGGACATACTCAAATGGAGAGAGCAATACCTGTACGAATGCCCCACACCTCCACCGCCGATCTACTGACATGGTCGGAGGTCCCGCCGGAAAATAACTTCCCCGTCTCCACCGCCGTCTCCGTTAGTGGCTCCTCTCACCGGCGAACAAATCCCCCACCTCCATCTCATCTATTTGAATTGATTCACAAGCTAGGTTTTAAGTGGGACTCTTCTCCTAACCCCGTGAGTTAATCCAATCAAGTTATTAAAGCTTTTGAGCAATGGGCGAACTGTTCAATAAGATCTGAAACAAGAAAAGAGGAGAAATTTTTGACGGTGGTGGTAGTGGTGGCAGGCTGGAAGCGGTGGTTGCGGTAGCTTTTGACCCCAGAACTGTTCATATCTCTGTTTTACACTGGCCGGAAAAGTGTCAGTTTACGTGCAATTTTAATGAATAAAAGTGTGCCTCGTGGAGCTCAAAGTAAATCTAATAGTTCAGGTGAATTTGAACTTTTCCCCTTCTTTTTTATTGGCCCATTACTACTCAGTTTTCTCTCAATATTACACCTATTTGTTCTACCAAATATCGTCAAATTGCGATCCTTGGCTTCGTAGTTATCATAGTGTAAGGATGAGATTGAAGGTAGGGAATCAAAAAAGGAATTTATAAAAAGAAAAGAAAAGGAATTGGACTCTCTGATAAACCAGCTAATTGATTAAGCCAGTGGTTGGTTGCTAACTAACATGGTTTCATATATTATATTGTACAATCCTCAAATAATATAGATAAACACTCTTCCCCAGATGAAACCCCATTTCTATGAAGTCCAGTGTTTCTTTCTATATATTGAATTTTCTTCTGTTCACTCTAAAATGTTTTGGTTACAAGAGAAGACATGTCTTAGCTAATATAATTTGCTTATCAGCTACTTGAGAGTAACCAATATGGTTTATAATATATATTAACACCCATGTGGTATAATATTATATTTCCTTAATGAACTTGTCATCCCATATAATAAATTCAAGTCATTCTTTCGTTATATTAAATTCAATTGGTGGTAACATGATTGAAGACACCATTTCAGTCACTCAGAGGTATGTCATTGTCCTTTGTCTTTCATTTCTTTCTTTGATTTATTAATCTCCGGTCTCCATAAACCAGCTAATGTGAATGCGTTTTATAGTCAGAGGCGGGCCTAAAGTGTAACCTATGCGTTCACATGTTGTTTTTACCCGGATCATATATATGTATTAAGAAATCCACAAAAAATATCCATAAATATTTGATTGTCAACCCCTTATTATTGTATATTAACTTGAGGTCGCTGTAGAAATCCATAAACTTCAAATCCCATGTGGTATAATATTATATTCCCTAATTGAAGTTGTCGTCGTATTTTAATCCAGTCAACTCTTTTGTTCTTTATATGGAATTCACTTGGTAACTTGATTGCCTACACTTGCAGCCCTTTAGAGGTATGCCCTTTTTCTTTGTCTTCTCATATCCTTTTTCTAGGTTACTATCCTATATTTTTTGTGCTTCGTCCATTTGTTGATTGTTATTGATATTGGTGTTTCTTGTATTGTTTTCTCCAAGTATTTGTGACAGTATGTGTTTGCTTTTGCAGTTGCTTGCAACCTTTCAGCACTGCTGTTTTCCTTATCTGAAGGTTAGTTAGCCTTCTTGTCCTTCTATTACTTGAAACTTTTGTATATCATCCTTGTACAAGGGGGTTGATCTAAGTTTTAGGTCCTAGCACAAGAGCAAATCTAATATTAGGATAGATCTAAACTTTTGGAAAGTCCACCTGAGGTGGAGATTAGACTAACTTATATCAAGGTGTTAAGAGTTACAAGTAAGAGAAAAATGAAATTATAAATTTGCGACTCGATACTATTTGTGTCTTATAGAGTTACTGATGCTAGTTCGTCGATGTGTTTTCTATTTGTAAATGGATTTTGGTCCCCTTTTGTTTTTTAAAGAGTACTTGGAAATTATACATCAATTTTTGCAGAACTTCTTGAATCAGAAAGATGTCCTAGTCGATGTAATATAAACATTTACCTCACTAGGCACGAGTTCTAGAAGTAACGTTTCGACTTTGTACCTAGAACAAAAGAATTCATCGTGGAATTTTAATGCCTTCGAATTCTATATGGATATATAATTTGATCCGAAATTCAAGTATATATAGTTCTCTTTTCAGATTTTATTGATTGGAAATGCCACTTAAAGACAACATAGGCTGCGATATGTGGCAAGTTTTCTTTGGTGTTTCTTCCATTACATATACATACTAGTATTTGCTTGTTGATTTACTTTAGAAAGTTTTTCATCTTAAAGTAACAAAAAAAACTGTACTGCTATTGACTAGGCACTCTAGACCACCTCTCCCCTTAATTTTATGTCCTAGGCAAGTGCAATACATTTCTACACCGTGCAACTTTAGTGAGTGGGCCATAACTTTGTGTATTGATGACCAAACCATAGGAAAGTTGAATTAAAGTTTTAGAAGTCATGATCAAATTCTTTCTAGATTAAGAGTTAAACCTTTTTGAAGTTGAGTCATGTCTTATTCATACTTATTCTCTCGTCGATTGCTCTATTTTTCCAGCTTTCCTTGTTTCCAAAGCTCTCATTCGTTCCTTAAAGCGTTAAAAACACATTCACACATGATCATTTTGACATGATATGCTTCAATTTTCATCTGAGACTGGCTTGAGGATTGGGGTGTTGCAACTGAATTTGCACTGCAACCGCACAGTAGAAAAGTACTTGAAATTTTGAGGGTGAATGTAAATACTATTAAATTAAGTGAGATGGGGATAAATAGTTTTTAAGAGATCTTCACAAATAAAAATTATTTTATGTGTATATAAATAACTTGGAAATATGTATTACGTGCTTCTAAAGATTAGTATTATTGACTTAATCTTTAACGGAATTTCAAGGATTAGAGAGCAATGATTATATGGAAAAAAAATCATGTGTTGTAACATTGATAATATGAATAAGAAATGAATGCAATATCTATGAAAAAGGTACCAAAAAACTTCCAATTTTACTGGCTCAGATCAGTGTGCTCTTATCTCTTTTTTTGGCTCCCTTTTTGCAACTTTACTGATCATGTTATTTATAGCACCATTTACTTCGTTCAACTTGCAGCTTTGAGGTCATAATTGAAATACGATAGATATGGCTTATGCTAGTGTTGCTTCTCTTATGAGAAAAATAGAACTGCTCCTGACATTCAATTCACCAGCACGATCTCTAATCCGTGACAACATAGCAGAACTTCTTGCTCTTCACGGAAATGTTAGTTCCTTGGGAATATTTCTCAAGAATTTCGAGAAAAGCAATGATTCTGGGGAAATGACAGATTTGGAAGCACAGATAAAAGAAGTTGCAGAAGCTGTTGAACACACAATTCAAATGACACTGACTGAAGCTTTAGTGGCAAATGATGAAATGCAGAAAGAAAAGGCACATGGGAGGCTAGGTGATTGCCTAAAGCAAGTAGCAGAGGACATTGATCGTGTCCGGAAAGAAACAAAAAAGATTCAAGATAAAGGCAAAAAAGCATCAAACGAATCTTTGGTTCTAGACAGTTCAACAAAAGATATCCCGAATTTGAAGAACAATATGGTGGGACGTGATGATGAAAGGAAAAGGTTGTTAGAAAATCTGACTAGAGGCTTCTCTGGTGAACCCAAAGTCATCCCAATTGTCGGGATGGGAGGTATTGGTAAAACAACTTTAGCTAAAGAAGTTTTCAATGATGCATCTATTCGATCTCATTTTGATGTCCGTGCTTGGGCTACTATATCTAGCCAATATAATGTAAAAGATATCTATGTAAGCCTTCTGCTTTTTACAAAAGAAACAAAAGATGAGAGAGTTCACATGAAAGATGAGGCAATGCTAGCAGACATGCTACAGAAAAGTTTAAAGGGTAAGAGATATTTAATTGTCATGGATGACATGTGGAACAGTAAAGCATGGGATGATGTGAGACAATGCTTTCCAAGTGAAGATAAAGGCAGTCGAATATTGTTGACTACTCGTAACACTGAAGTAGCTTGTTATGCTGGTACAGGAAATCTTTCTTTGCAGATGGATTTTATGAATCCAGATGAGAGTTGGAAACTTTTTAAATGTACGGGCTTTGCAGATGTATCATTACCACATGAGTTCGAGACTATCGGGAAGCATATTGTAGACAAATGTCAAGGGCTGCCACTATCTATTATCGTGGTTGCTGGGCTTCTGTCCAAATCTAAGAGGACACTAGAAGATTGGAAAATTGTTGCTAGGGATGTAATGTCATTTGTCACAGATGATCCTGATAAACAATGTTTACATGTGCTTGGGTTGAGTTACAATCACTTGACCAATGATTTAAAAGCATGTCTTCTGTATTTTGGAATTTTTCCAGAAGACAGTGAGATTCCAGTGAAGAAACTAGTGAGTTTATGGATGGCTGAAGGGTTCCTGAAGTTGGAAAACGACTTACAAGGAGAGGCTGAGAAGTGTTTACAAGATCTCATCGATAGATGTCTAGTTCTTGTATGCAAGAAAAGTTTGGATGAAACAAAAATTAGATCATGTAAGGTTCATGATCTAGTATATGGTTTTTGCTTGAGAGAAGTTCAAAACGAAATATTTTTTTCCTTGAGACAGCTGGCACCTGGTAATCCGGACTATATTTACTCTGATCATTATAGGATCCTTTTTGTCCCTCAATTGATAACGCAGCAGACAGATGGTGACGACGAAAATTCGGGCAATCTAGTTCGTTCTATTTTCTCTTTGTACAGTACTTATTCAACTTTTATTCTCGAACCAGATATTATTCATTGCAATTTTCTCAAAATTTTGGACTTGAGTCCCATAACTCTTGATATTTTCCCTCCACCGATACTGTGCCTCAGTTTTTTGAGGTACCTAGTACTGTCCACCCGTGGTGGGAGGTTTGACATACCTCCAGAAATTTGCAGATTATGGAGTCTACGAACATTCATTGTTGAAGGGTATCGTCCGACGTACGTACACTTTCCTGAACAAATTTGGGAACTGTGGCAATTAAGGCATCTCGGAGTGTATCAGTTTGATTTGCTAAATCCTCCAAGTATATCTGTTGATGAGGAGAGGTGCTTGGAATTTTCAAACATACACACTGTTTCTGGCTTGTGTGTAAGTAGTTGCACCGAGGAGGTTATTTCAGGGATTCGGAATGTTAAAAAATTAGGAATCTATGCAGATGAATATGAGTTTAAAACATTTCATGGATCTAAACTTTTTGACAATCTTGCCAATCTACATCAACTTGAAACATTGAGTCTTAAAATTTCAGTACCGCTGCAGACGAAGATTAATAAAGTGCCATTGACCATTCCAAGTGCAAAAGCTTTTCCAGCGACGCTCAAGAAGTTGAAGTTGGACAATACTTGTCTAAGGTGGGAGGACATGGATATCATAGGTGAGTTGCCTGACCTTGAGGTGCTGAAGCTAATGTTAAATGCTTGTTGTGGCCAAGAGTGGCATCCAATTGCAGGGGGTTTTACTCGGTTGAAGCTTTTGCTAATTAAGCATAATTATCATCTCAAGTACTGGAAAGCCACAAATGACAATTTTCCTGTCCTTGAGCGCCTCGTGATCACATATTGCACTGAGTTGGAAGAGATGCCCATTGAGTTTGCAGATATGGACTCACTACAGCTAATTGAGTTAAGTTACTGTACAGCCCAACTTGAGGCTTCTGCTGCACGTATTCAACAAGAACAAGAAGACCTCGGAAACAAACCTGTGGATGTTCGTATCTCAGATACATACAATCCCTGTAAGTATATTTTTATCAAGGTTGCCCTCATTTCTCATTTCCACAAGGTTACGTCACGTTATACAGTTGTACTCAGTTCAATTGCAGTGCTTTTGCTTGATTTTCTTCAACTCGTAATCGTAAAAAATAAGTATTTTCGGAATGAACAAGAAAAGTGGACTTTTCGTTTTTATTGTGTGATATAAAATATAAATTTTGCTGAATATTTAATTAAAACAATTATCAATTTGTAGTTGTCAAAAATCGGTATTTTCTTCTAATATGACCAAATAACTATTTCGATTAGTGAGATTAATTTAATAAATATGATAATTAAAAATAAAATGGTCTTGAATGCCCTTGTTTTGAGGCTTCCATGCATAAGGAATTATAATGTTTGAACTATCGAATCCTACAAAAAATTCCAATAGATTTGGAAACTTAGAACTCCCAACAAGATTGGGTTTTTCATCTGGCAATGTTGCCAAGATAGGCTTCATTCTAGGGACTATCTTAATAGTGTTGGCATGAATACTTATCCTACTTTGCACTGTTTGCAAAAGAGAAAGAGAGACTGTCCACTGGTTAGATATCCTCAAAAGCCAACAACCAAGTTTAAACAAATGTTATGCTTAGCTGGAATAATTTCCTTCCATTCTGCTTATGGCATTTTTGGCTCAACAGAAATGCTAATAACATTAACAACAGTACAATACTGATTGTCCTCTTTCAAAGTCATTGGTTATCACTTGTTGCATTGAATATATTACCCTCTCCCAGAACACTACTGTTACTGAAAATATTAGAACCAACAACAACAACAACAACGGCCCAGTATAATCCCACAAGTGGGGTCTGGGGAGGGTAATATGTACGCAGACCTTACCCCTACCCCGAGGGGCAGAGAGGTTGTTTCCAGGAGACCCTCGGCTCAAGAAAGCAACAAGAGACGATATATTAGTACTATCAATAGACTCATAGTAAAATAACATAACATAACATCAAATAACATAAAATAACAAAATAACAGCAACATAAGTAATATGAACTTAATTACGGGGAGGGAACTTAACAAAATAACTGAAAATATTATAACCATTAATATTAATGACATCCTCCTCCTGCGTGCTACTACAAACTTAACATAGATGGTGCTTTCAATAGCGATATTACCCATTTCCTTTTTCCTCCCTGAGCCGAGGGTCTACCGGAAGTAACCTCTCTGCCTTTTTTAAAGGCAGGGGTAAGGTATGCGTACACTCTATCGTCCCCAGACCCCACTTGTGAGACTATACTGGTTTTGTTGTAATTGTTAACTCATACTCATGTTGAGCTCTTTGCTTTAAGATATGGACTGAAGATTGCTTACGCCCACAATCTACAACCTTTGGAGATTGAAACAGACTTCATTGGAATTATGCAATTATTACAAAACTATTCACTAATATAAACCAATTATCCATGGCTGTAGGTTGGTAATGTAGCAGATGGGGAACCCAGTGCTTCGGCATAATTACGGGGAGGGAGTTTGCACACTTTTCGGCTAAAGAAGGATCTAAAGCAGCAATATCTCTTTTGAAAAACTTATTCGGATAGTATTTGTAATAATCTAGGTTGCTTTGGGAACCTTTGTGTCATATCTGACACCAGTAGTATTAGCACTAGTTCTATAGTAATCGGAAACAGTCTCTCAACCCTTTCAGGGTAGGGATAAGACTGTATACATACTACCCTTTCCAGACCCCACTTGTGGAATTATACTGGGTTGTTATTGTCGTCTGTAGTAAGTGGTTTATTTCTATTAATATATTGTAACTACCTTTATGATAGAAAAACAGCTTTTGCCTGTATAAAGAAAAGGCCCCAAGATATTTTATTTTTGTAATAGTGTGACTTCATACAACTACTCTAATGATGATGGTGATGATGGTGATGATTCTGATGCATAATATAATGAAGTTGTCTTGAAAAATAATTTTTGGAAGTTGAGGTTGTGTCCTTGCTAAGCCGAGGGTCTATCGGAAACATATTTACTCTACCAAGTTAGGGGATAAGGCATGAGTACACATTAACCTCTCCATACTATTGAGTTGTTGTTGGAAGTTGAGGTTGTGTCTGGAAATGCATTTTATCAAGATTTATGACTGGAAGACAAAATTTCACCCAAAAATTGTCCTAAACCAGTTTTTGAGAACATGAAATTTCATTTTAATTTTTTTTTTTCAAAAACTGATCAATTCTATGAACAAATAATGTTCATAATTTTTTTTTGAAAAAGAATAAAATCTATGGCTAAATGGAAGCTTAATTTATTTTAAGAGCAAACTTAATTTTGTTCATAATTAAGTGTAAAGTGGATCACGTTAACCATCAACTGAACAAGTTAGGTAAAAGAATGACTATATTTAAAAAGTTGAAAACTTGCAAAAGAAAGGATGTCAAGGATTTCTCCCTAACAGCAGCTGAGAAAACTTACAATTCTCACATCATAATTGTAAAAATTGCGTGGGGCGCCCTATTTGGTCGCCCCCATTTAACCTATATCTATTTTTTTTTTAAAGTTTCAACTTGTACCTACTTTTTAAACAACTTCCGTCCCCTTTCTCCTCCTCCTTCTCTTCCTCAAAGTTTTATCCTATCTGCTTCTTCTTATTTTTCCGATGAGTCCTATAAATTTTCAATCATTTTTTCCTTTTCGCCGACACCCTCAGCTGTAAAGGTTCTATCTTGGTTTTGCAACTTGAATCTTATGCACAATTTTGATGTGAAAATGGGACAAGAGAAATTAGTTACTATTAATTTTATATTGTTGTTTGGTGAATTGGGTCTAGCGGAAATTGGAGATGCCAGTTGTCGATTGGATTGGTAATGTGTTGATGTTTCTTGGGTCCTGTTAATGTTGCTTTAAGTTACTTCGTGTGGGTACAACATGCCCCCTAGAGCTCTAGAGTTGAAGTTCGCAAGTTACAAACAAAAATTTCAGTTTTAGAGCTGAAGTTCGACAGTTACAAAAATAAAAACTTCAGCTCTAGAGCTTAAGTTCGCCAGTTACAAAACAAAAACTTCAGCTTTAGCTCTATAGCTGAAGTTCGCCAGTTACAAAAACAAAAACTTCAGCTCTCGCCAGTTACAAAACAAAAACTTCAGCTTCGCCAGTTACAAAAACAAAAACTTCAGCAATCACAAAATTTTTTTTCAGTAAATAGAGAACAAAACTTCAGTTATTATGCTTAAGTTCAGCAATTACAAACAAAAACTTAGTATACTTGGTTCAGCACACTTGCTACTTCAGTCTCGTCTACCAGAATGCTGAAGTTTTGCGTGATTGTCTTTGCTACTTCAGCCCCGTATCCCGAAGTTACTTGAAAAAGTGAGTACGCTTGCAATTTTTTTTGCAAAGCAGACACAAGTTAAAACGTGATCTAAAAACCGGGTATAAATGTAAATCCCCTTAATAATTTCAATACACTAAGTTGATTTTGGGACTAAGTGCTGATTGGGACAGAACTTATAATTACCCATCAAAGTTGAAGTACTAATAAGCAAAAGAAAATGAACGAAAGTAAAGTAAATAGAGAAGTGTTATGATAAAAATCAAAATATGGTGGATGTCTACTCTTCCTCCATGATCTTTCTCTCAAATGGTTAATGACATATTTAATGACATATTTTCTATGTTCAATGACATATTTCATGACATATTTTCTTCACTTTTCATGCCTATATAAAGGTCTTGTAATAGATAGGAAAATACACACAATTGAAGAAGAAAATTTCTTCCTTTCTCTCCATCTCTTTCTTGTTCATGTTTTACTAAATTGTCTTTATTTCTCGTTCATGTTTTACTAAATTACTTTTATTTCATAACACGTTATCAGCATGAGTCTCTAACCAATTGTATATATATCTACAAAATTTTTCCTACATCCGGAAAGATTACAATTAGAAGCTATACATATCATCATATGGTTAAATGTAAAGAGAAACTACATATGGTAAGTAATGAAATGTAAGAAGGTATGATTATCTTATACTTGTCATTCCTCTAAAATCCCATATGCACACAACTTCGTACTACACCTATATTACATAAGCACATATTAATATTACATCTTTTATATCGCATGAATGGAATAAAATTTTCGAAGTTCTATATGTGAAAATCATAGTAGCAGTTAATTGTTGATATGATGCATGTCATGGTAACCAAGGATATTTTATATAAATTGTCTTATGCATATTTGTGTGTTAACTATCTTCAATATGTCCTGCCGCTTTTAACATTTTCTTTTACTTGGATGATTTTTTTTTTCCTTTTGGATTTTTACACTTGCATATAGTACAAAAAAAAAAGAATAAAAAAATGGTCATACTGATTAAAAGCATAAATCACCTTGAAGAAAACAAAAAATACTTCACATCTTTATTTAGGTTGATTAACTACTTCTTTGAAATTTGGAAAACAAAACAGCTATTGAGAAAGTATACTTCATAATTTATGGTCGTATCATTTAAAAGCAAACAATGATTAGTATGACTACTAGAAGAGGTATTTTTGAGTATCCATGACCTACTTGATGCTTGCTACTGACTTACCATTTTTAAGTATTTTATATGAATGATGCACAAGCTACAACTGGTAAGTTGTTACCTATAATGTCACTTTTCAGGTAATATAAATACTGAATTTATGTATTAGTATTATATGTGTGTTGTTACCTATATGGTGTACTTTTGATAAATTTATTCACTAATTGCTTGGTTGAATTGAGTGAAGGAAAGTCATGGCGTTAAATCAAATCCAATAGGTAGG